ACCGGACTTTGTAACCACCGGGAAAGGGCATCGTGGATATACTGAATGAGTATAATGTCCAATGGTCCATTAGATCCAATGGACATTTGAAATGTCCAATGGACATATGAAATGTCCATTGGACATTTGACGACCAAGGAATGTCCATCAATTGAATATATAGATACTTCTCAATGCTTCCTTGTATTATCAATATATTGTGTTGCTAACGACGCAATATATCAATATATTATGTTGCTTTGTTCCTATAAGAAAGCACGCAATATATCAATAGAAAGCACGCCATATATCAATATAATATGTTGTTGCTTTGTTCTTAAGAAACCACGCAATATATATTAATATATTATATTCCCTTGCGGTCACCTAATTACTTATCGAGTTAATTTAAGGCTATACTTTCCAGTCCGGAAAATTATCCATGGATTGGAACGGGCAAGAAAATTTCTCTTTGTGCCGGGGAAAGTCATTAGTTCCAACCATGCAGAGCTCACAACACAAAGAAAAATTTTCTCACTCAAGAATTTGACACTCAAGAGATGCTCAGATTGAATCTTCACTCAATTAATGTGAGTGACCATTTAGAATACAGGTGTAAGGATTAACTTTGTTAGCCGGTTGTCATTCAACACGTAACTCACTATATGGTACCGCTATAACAATCACAGAAAGCCAATTCCCGATTCAGCAACCTTATAACATTGTCCAAATTTGAAAAAGTTTGTGCATATAAAAACAACATAACACGCCGCATCTTCTCCGAATATATCTTAACAAAAATATGTATATACACACATGAGACAAAAATAAAGTTTTTAAAAAGTTTGGGTTGTCTAAATACTGAACACAATCAACCAAACTACGTACGGCTGTAAAAGAAATATCTAGAACATTTGTTACCCTCAATATTCGCGAGAAATACGTTGTATTTTCAAAAGATTCTGCCTCAGCAAGACTGGCCATCTATGACTATAAATATAATATCACAGAGATCTCAGAGACCATTACCAGTGTTTCCACTCTCCAAAAGGTCAGGGCCTTCCAGAGGGGGCCACTGGGGCATTGCGCCGGCCTCCCAGTTTAAGGGGGACACCAAAATTTTCAAAATTAAAAAATAATTTCGAACGTTTTTTGCTATAAATGGTATAACACAAAATATAGATCGAAAAAAAGGGTCTGACCCATGTTGTAATAGGAATTTGTGGGGAAAAAGTTTTTTGAACCTTAGTTTAACTCGTGTTCGACCAGAAAATTTTTTAACCCTTTTTTAATGTCCGGAAAAAGTTTTCACCTCCTCCCCTGCTCGCCAACCTGTTGGGGAAAGATAGGGCTCCCGAAACAAAAATTTGCCCCAGGCCTCCGAATTTCTCCGATAGGCCCTGATTATCGTAATCGCCATTTTATATGGAAATAATTATAAGTCGATGGCATAACGATGTCATGTTAGCAATGTTAGTATGGCCATGGTTGTCAGTGCACGAAGTAATTAACTAATTATTGAAGACAATAAATTATTTTTATAAAACCCTTGTCGCGAATATTGATTTTTAAGCTTCGGCCTTCGCATAGCCTGCTCGCCTTCCGAGGGGCCCGCCGTGGCGTTCAAAAGCGTACGAGATTTTGAAATTAGGTGGTCTCACAAACTTTAATCAAATATGATCTTTTGAAGCTCAAGGTTGTGACTATTTCCACAAAAGTGGCTTTATCGGCCTTTACGCGTCACCAAAACAAACGCATCCGCTATGCGGAACAGAAGGTGACGATGGATGTGCTAAATCCCATATCAAATGGCATGCATGCTTTGAAACAACCGGATGGCAATCGGGCAATCGAAATGCGGCCAATGCCAATAAATGGCAATTTTAATTCAGCTATAATTTGTAATTATGAATGATCTATAGTTAAATTAATCAAACAGTAAGCATACAAATAAATGTGAAACAAAGTTTCTATCTTATAAGCTACAAAATTAATTCACTACTGTATAATAATTTTAACATTCAGCCCTGAAATGAACTCTGAACAGCATGCGTCTTAATTATGCGGTTTAATTAGTTACACTCGTAAGGGCATTCATCGCTACACTGTTCATAACTGCGATTAACGTAACTGGCAACCGCGTCGCTTAAAAGTATTTCGCTTCTCAGACAATTCCTTACTAAAGAAACACCAGTCCTGAAATAGTTTTAAATAAACGCGTATGTTTATAGTCGCATACAGAATTATCAGAACAAACCAACTGATAATTGTATATTGAATATCTTATATTTCATTAAAAAATAAGTGAATGTTTAATCAATGTTTGTAAATCGGATAAAGATGCGATCCTGATTTACATAAACTTTAGCTTTGATTTTTGCGCCTTAGACAATGTTCATTTTTAAAAATACTTAGATAAAGACCGACTGCTCATGTTTTAACTAGTACTTAATAGGCCCTGTAAACTGTAACTATCAAATGGCATACAAATAATTTACACATTGCATATATGCCTGACAATTATACATTCAACGCACAATTCAAATGCCCATTTGACATATGCGTATCCCATTGGATCCAATGGACAACTGAAATGTCCATTGGACATACGCCTGTCCATTGGATCCAATGGACCATTGGACATACTTCCTTTGCCATCTCACAGGCCTGCTGCCAGCATGGGGTCAATGTCAACCTATGACGTCATTCCTGTTAACTTATTTACTGCACTACCAAATGTCCACTGGACATATGCCTGTCCATTGGATCCAGTGGACAAATCAAATGTCCACTGGACATATCTATGTCCATTGGATCCAATGGACAAGTGGAATGTCCATTGGACATATGCATGTCCAATGGATCCATTGGATCCAATGGACCATTGGACATACTCCCTTTGCCATCTCACAGGCCTGCTTACCTGCATGGGGTCGATGCCCACATATTACGTCATTCGAAATAACTTATTTACTCCACAACCAAATGTCCAGTGGACATATTTCTGTCCATTGGATCCAATGGACAAATCAAATGTCCACTGGACATATCTATGTCCATTGGATCCAATGGACAAGTGGAATGTCCATTGGACATATGCATGTCCAATGGATCCATTTGATCCAATGGACCATTGGACATACTCCCTTTGCCATCTCACAGGCCTGCTTACCTGCATGGGGTCGATGCCCACATATTACGTCATTCGAAATAACTTATTTACTCCACAACCAAATGTCCAGTGGACATATTCCTGTCCATTGGATCCAATGGACAAATCAAATGTCCACTGGACATATCTATGTCCATTGGATCCAATGGACAAGTGGAATGTCCATTGGACATATGCATGTCCAATGGATCCATTGCATCCAATGGACCATTGGACATACTCCCTTTGCCATCTCACAGGCCTGCTTACCTGCATGGGGTCGATGCCCACATATTACGTCATTCTAAATAACTTATTTACTGCACAACCAAATGTCCAGTGGACATATTCCTGTCCATTGGATCCAATGGACAAATCAAATATCCACTGGACATATCTATGTCCATTGGATCCTTATGCCTGTCCATTGGATCCAATGGACAAATCAAATGTCCACTGGACATTTCAATATGTCCATTGGACATCTTGCAGAGGTATTGGACATTAATCAAACTTTTTAACCTCGTTTTAAAAACAGGGCATTTCCCAGATCAATGGTGTGAAGGTCTCATTACGCCAAATTTTAAGTCAGGAGATAAAACTGACCCCAATAACTACAGAGGAATTTGCGTGACTAGCTGTCTCAGTAAATTCCTTTGTACTATTTTAAATCAACGGTTAAGTAAATTTAGCATTGATAGAAACATAATTCACCGCTCCCAAATCGGATTCCAGTCAGGCCACAGAACAGCTGACCATATTTTCGTCTTAAAAACAATAGTTGATAAACACATAAATCAGAAAAACGAAAAAATCTATGCATGCTTTGTGGACTTTAAAAAAGCATTTGACTCTGTTTGGCACGAAGGCCTATTTTTAAAACTGCTTGAGAACAAAATTGATGGTCATTTCTACAACCTTATTAAAAGTCTATATTCAAGCTCTAAATGCGCCGTAAAAGAAAGTAAAATAAATCGAACTGAATTTTTCTGTTACTCCAAAGGAGTGCGTCAAGGGTGTATTTTGAGCCCCCTTTTATTTAATATCTATATAAACGAATTAGCAACATTATTTGATAATACAGCTGCCGATCCATTTATACTACCAAATGGGACTAAACTGAGCTGCCTTCTATATGCCGATGACTTAATTTTATTATCTCGATCAAAATTCGGCCTACAAAAATCTCTAGACGATCTTCATTGTTGGAGAAAAAATGGCTTATGGAGATAAATTTGAAGAAAACACAAATAATGATATTTGAAAAAAGAAGAACAAGAAAAGCGAGACCAATTTTTAATCTTGGAAATCGGAACATAAAAATCGTGCAGGAATACTGTTACCTAGGAGTCAAACTAAATCACAATGGTAATTTTACTCTAGCTCTAAAACAACTAAGCGAAAAGCCTTGCATGCTCTATACGGTATAAGAAGACAGCTCAATTTCAGCCATCTCAATCCCAAATATGCCATTAAAATATTTGATTCAATTATAACTCCTATCCTACTATACAACTCGGAAGTATGGGGGACATACGTGAAAAATGATTTCAACAATTGGGATAAATCACCAATTGAGAAGGTTCATCTTAAGTTCTGTAAAATTTACCTCGCTATCAGTAGGAAAGCAAGTAACATTGCCTCCAGAGCTGAGCTTGGAAAACTCCCTCTCATCATTAACGTATTCAAAAGGGTCTTCAAATACATCACTCACTTAAACTCGCTTCCCCAAACAACCATTGCGAAGCAAGCTTTTCTAATCTCGAAAGATCTACACTCCAAGCAGAAAATATCTTTTTACGGAAATGCAATGGAAACTATCAAAAATTTAAATCTAAATGAAGAAATCCTTAATTTAGAAGCCGTAACGACTGAACATATTAAAACTATTACCAAAACCCTTGAGGAAAAATACTGAACATTTTGGAAACATAAACTTGAAAATTCATCCAAATGGACTTTCTACTCAACGTTCAAAACGGACCACAACCTCGAAAACTACCTAGTATTTATAAAAGATCCATACGAAGGAAGATGTCTTTCAAGACTTAGAGTCAGCAACCATGACTTCCAAATTGAGATCGGGCGCTATCAAAATATACCCCGTGAAGAACGCTTATGTAAAATCTGCAATTCAGGAGAGTTGGAAAATGAAACCCATCTCCTCCTCTCTTGCAAAGCCTATGAGCAATTTCGTGCAAACCTTCGAAGTTCATTAGAGAATGCTTCATCTGACGAGATTAATCTAAACTCTCAAACTCTATCAGCGGACCTAATGAAATCAACTGATAGTGAGATCATTACCAAACTTTCAAAATTTATTTATTCATGTTTCAAGCAAAGACTTAAGGTGGTAGTCAGCCCTAAATTTAGATCGACAGTTTAAATTTTTTTCAACATTTTTTTTTGCTTTACTGACTTCATTATTTATTGTATTTTCGCCCCCTGAACTTTTTTTTCTGGTATTTGAAAGAGTTTCTTCAAAATATCCATTTTTATGGAAGGATGTCATAAAATTGTGCATAGCAACCATTTAGGATGACTTGTTTACTTTGGTTGCCATGGACTTTCTACCCCTGAGATGTATGATATTTTCGCGACAACCCCTTTGCCATTTCCCCCTTTATGCCTGCACTAAAATATCGCCTGATTGCAGGTTGAAACATCGATCAGGCCCTTGTGTTTACATCACACATGAATTTACATTTTTGAGTAGCTATACTTGGTATACAATATCTCGCAATCCAGCTGTTTACAAAGCGTTTTTAAGTTATTTTTTAACGAGGAAATGGTGAGAGAGGATAAAAGGAAGAAAGGATCAGTAAAGCATGGAAAAAGAAGGGGTTTTTCTGGCAAAAGACGGCAGGAGATAGCCGACGAATTTACAAATGACGCCAATCCTCGGGACGCCAATCCTCAGAGTTTACCCGGTGTTAGCGAGGTTTTACCAACGAATACAACTGCCGATCGCGAAAGTGTCTCGACTAAGAAGCTTCTAAACAGTTCTTTTGAGAAATTCGAAAGCAGCCGAGGAATTTTGACTCGTGAACAAGCAAGAAAAGTTGGTTTAGGATCGGCACGTGATGTTGAAATTGCAACCGGATTTAAAATACAAGATGCCACTCTCTTGAGCGATTGCATTTCGGCCGCAGCAGTATGTAGTTCCTGTCGTAAAGCAACATCAAAACTTAAACTTTATCAACGAAACAGCGATAGAGAAGGTTTGTCAGAATCATTATTCCTGCAATGTTCGTCTTGTGAGGTGGTGACTCCATTACCAACAAGCAATCGACTAGGTGGCAAAGGTGGTGTGTCTCATGAAGTCAACCGTCGAGCAGCTTTGGCTTCCCATCAATTTGGCCATGCTGGATTGACACAGTTCTGTGCTGGTATGAACTTACCTCCCCCAGTTGGTAAAGATTCATACAATAAGCATCTAATTAAAATTGAGAAGGCTGCCAAAACCAGTGCCGAAGAAGTAATGAAAGATGCTGCCAAAAGATTATTCGAAAAGGTTATGTCAGAATGTCCGGATGATATTGAGGAGGACGGCGAAGATTTGATTGCTCATGTTTCTGTGACAGTTGACGGTACCTGGCAGAAAAGAGGTCACTCATCAAAAATCGGAGTGATCTTTGTTATCTCAGTTGCAACTGGGGAAATCCTAGATTATGAAGTAAAATCACTCTTCTGCCATGAATGTAAAGCTCATAACAACCAAGATCATGAAGGCGAAGAGTTCCAAGAGTGGAAGAAGGCTCATGAACCAAAATGTGAAGTGAACCATGTAGGATCGTCTGAAGAGATGGAAGCTGTGTCTGCTGTTGACATATTTAGCCGAAGTATTGCAACAAGAAAATTAAAGTATACAACCTTTGTTGGTGACGGAGACAGCAGTAGTTTTGGCCGGGTAAAGGAGGCACTGGATAAAAAGTTTGGTGCTGCTTATGAAATTAAGAAAGAGGAATGTGTGGGGCATGTTCAGAAGAGGCTTGGAAGTGGTTTGAGAAGGTATAAGAATGACATGAAGGGAAAGAAACTTTTGGACGGTAAATCGGTTGGAGGAAAAGGACGGTTGACAGACAAGGTGATTGATAAAATGCAAAATTATTACGGCAAGGCAATTCGGGGAAACAAAGGAAATCTGGAAGGGATGAGGAGAAGCATTAAAGCCATTCAGCACCACATGATAAAGAATGATGAACTAACACTAGAACAACAACACCAATACTGTCCCAAATCATCTGATACATGGTGCAAATACTGGAAGGACAAAGCCGACGGAACTAAGTTGTACAATGAAGATAACCGGTTACCTGAGGTTTTTATGAAACAATTGGACCCACTTTTCACAAGGCTATCTAATGATGACCTCTTGAGGAGGTGTTTGAAAGGGATGACCCAGAACCAGAACGAGGCAGCTAATGGTGTGTTATGGTCCAAGTGTCCGAAAACCAAGTTCTGTGGTGCAAGGCGCGTACGTATTGCAGTATGTGAGACAGTTGCTGTGTTCAACACTGGTGCTGCAAGCAAAGCTGTGATAATGAACTTGTGTGGTGTCACCCCTGGAGTCCATACAATGAGAGCTCTTAGAAAGCAGGATGACACCAGACTGAAGACTGCAGCTAAAAAGGTAAGTATGAAGTACCGAGAGAAAAGACAGAAACTCAGGGCGCAGCGAAAGTCAAAAGGTGACAAGATGGCATACCAACCTGGTGGCTTTGGACTAAGTGCCAAGCCTGTTGACACTGGAAAGAAAAGAAAAAGAACACCAAAACAGACAAAAACCAATGACGTAAATGAACAACCACAAATAACCTTTGTTATGCCGACTATTGAAGTAGTTGGTAAAAAACGACGGACATGACATTCGGTTTTGGTGTCTAGAATCTTTATTTGAGACATTTTTACTGAAGAAAAGACAATTGTATTGAACATATGTATCTTATTGCAACTCATTGAATATACAGGTAACATTTGTCTGTAATATGTGTGCTGTATGATGCACAAAGTTGGGGCAAAACATTAGTTCCTTTTTAACCTTGATTATCTCAAAACGAGCGAGTTTTGTATTACCAAATTTGTGGAAAGCCTAAATGAAAGGGAATTTAGTGTATTGCCCTGATTTTTGGACTGCATATGTATCTCATGACACTTTACAGGATCAGCAGACAGTTTTTCCAAATTTGCGGTTTTGGCCTTGTCACCATGGAAACAGTGCTTTTTTAGCGTTCGGACAAAACTATTTGTCAAAATGAAATTCTATCTGCTTGTCCTGTACCCTAGGTCATAAGAAACAATCTCACCAAATTTGCAGTTGATAGCTATTTTTGTTCTAAAGATATTCTTTCTGCAAATTCTTGCTGTGCCGCAGTATTCTGCTGTTACCATGGCAACTATTTAGTGTTATTCACTTCAAGTAAAGTTAAAATTTGTATACTAATTAGATCTTGCTTTTTGCCAATTTTTGTGGTGAATGAATAAATCCTGTTGAAAGTAGAGCAAAAAGAGTGTTTGGGGAAATTTAGGAATGACTACCACCACAAAGGGTTAAATTTGTTATTTGTGCAATGGATATGGCCTGAATGGAAGAATAACGAGGCCGAATTGTTGACCACCTACACGGGATGACAAAATGGCGCCGAATTTGGACAAAGTTGTGGATTTACCTTGTCGATGGTTAAACAGCTATGATCTACTTGAAACCAAGTTGAAACTTGTTTAAAATGTTCTTGATACCATTATGTCTGAGATGATTTACATTTTGGAAGGTTGTCGACGAGATCGCCGATAAACAGCGGAATAAAGTGGAGAACTTGGCCAAATGCGTCCATTTGCAGGAGGTAGGCACATTTCAAATTATTATTTCGGTCAGGAAATATTAACTATTTTACACCAAACCAGTGTTAATATATTGAAATAAGTACCAGTTATGTTTCTATCAAAAAGATTTAGGGAAAAAGGACGTTTCACCCCGGATTGGGGTTCGGGCAGCGTTACCATGTTAACCGTCATGTTCAACTTGCCCCAAAACAGTTGAAATTATCTGTCCTAAATGAAATGCATACAAACTCATATACAGGTCCTAGACTATTTTGCAAAGATGTATTTCGCTGTTTTACAATATATTTTTGCGATGTATTTCGCTTTTAACCGAAAACAAGTCTGCAGTTTCATGAATTAGTGGCTGTCAGCCGTGAAACAAAGTGTGAAAGGCATGTATAAACACGAATTTTGTCGAAGATAAACCAGATGTTTTTTTAGAAGTAAATTTAATCGTTGTCTTGGCTATGTTTGGGACTTGGGTAAGTGTTATAAACATTTCAGTATTAAAATTCCATACCGTACTTGCTTTGTGCTTTCGATTTCATTCATATATCTTCAAAATTTTTATGCCATCCTTAACTCAGTAAATAACATGTTTTTTATGCAAGTTGGTATTTGCACGAAATTGTATAAATGTAGTGATTAATAATGTTGTTTATTTGGGGTAATTAATACAGCGTATCGTGTTTTTATGTGTGTTTATTTATGGTCGTTTACGTAAACTATAACCTATACTTAAACATATAACTCAAAAACTAGCTTCTGCCTACAAAGCAAAATTAATATATTTTGCCGTATTTTCGAGCAAACTACTGTCGGCAAAACGAGTTTTTTGATTTCCCTGCAGTTTCACGACAAATTTTCAAAACGTTTTACCGTTGCATTTTACATTAAATTTTAAGCCTATTGAAAGCCACATAACATAAAACTATATCGATACATTCCAAAATATGAAAATCAATAATTCTTTAGTTAAAAATTATCTCGTATTATTTTCACGTTACCATAGCGACTACTATTATACTTCATGTGGAATTTCTATATTTTTTTGATTTAATAATTTTGCCACAAAAGAAATTACAAAAGTAACACACAAAGAAAACAAAAAAATTTGTTAAAAAAAAATTGAAATTTGTGGCGAGGGAACCCAAATAGAAGCCAAAAGGCTTATTGGATATTGGATTACCCCGTCATAGTTTAAATAAATATACAGAATATGTACAAGCAGCACACGGAATACAAGATACATATTAAATGGATATAGTCAAACACTACGGTGGAAATATATAGTAATTGAATGATATACAAATACTTGTAATTAACATGATTATTAAATAAAGTACCAAAATTTAGTACAAATCAAAAAAGTATTTTTTTAGCTTGGACAAAAATGATAGAACTGTAGGAGTATTACGGATATCAGGATCCAATGAGTTAAAAAATTTAGGACCTTGGTATTTTATAGTGAACTGTTTGGTCTTAGTTCTACAAAATGGAATATAGAATTGACCAGCACTACGTAAGTTGCGAGTGTGGACTTGATCAGTAATTGAAAAAAAATTGATAAAGCTTTGTGGGAGGAGATTACTTTTATAAGAAAACATAAACTTACCCAAATTCAAGAAATATATATCATTAAATTTGAGTAAATTTAAAGATTTGAATAAGGGTGATGTATGGGCGTCAAACGTTACATTACATAATATTCTAATGACTTTTTTCTGAAGTAAAATGAGGCGATTAAGATTGGAGGGATATGTCGAGCCCCATATCGTAATACAGTAATTAAAGTAAGGATAAACAAGTGCAAAGTATAGTGTACGCAAAGCAGAACGGGTGAGGCAAAAGCTTGATTTGTAAATGATCCCGATGGATTTAGATACTTTACTCGCAATATGGGAAATATGAGACTTCCAGCACAAATGCTCATCCAAAATTATACCCAAAAAGGTGGTTTCTTTAACTCTTATTAATTTATGATTGTTTATTTCAACAGATAAATCAAGCATCTGCCTCCTTTGCCGAGGAGTAAAGATTATATAACTGGATTTCTTGATATTAATAGTCAATCTATTGGCAAGAAACCATTCAGATAGATTCTTCATTTCGTTTTTGATGACATTTTCTAAGGCTGGTAATTGACTATCAGAATAAAATACATTAGTGTCATCAGCAAACAAAATGAATTCGGAGATCATGGAGGCATTACATATGTCATTCATATAGATCAAGAATAGTAGAGGTCCAAGGATTGACCCTTGAGGAATACCGCACTTAATATTATTACTACATGAATGAACACCATTATATTCAACATATTGTTGTCTATTAGAAAAATAATTTTTCACCCATTCAAGGGCCAATCCTCGAATGCCATAATGCTCCAATTTTAGAAAGAGTATTTCATGGTCAACAGTATTAAAAGCCTTGGATAAATCTAAAAATATTCCAATAGTAAACTTTTTATTATCAAATGCAGTTGCAATTTTGTCCAATAAATTAGTTAAAGCATGCGAAGTGGAATGATTTTTTCTGAAGCCATATTGACTGATTTTCAAACAAGATATTTTGCTTATTTAAATAATGCAATAAACGATTATATACAACCTTTTCAAGAACTTTAGAGAACACAGGTAAGATTGAGATAGGTCGATAATTTGAGAAAAAGTTACCCTCACCGGATTTAAAAATTGGTAAAACCCTTGCAACTTTCATCTGGTCAGGAACAATACCGGATTGTATAGATAAATTGACAATGTGGGTGATAGGTTTAGAAATAAAATGAATAAAGTCCTTTATGGTCCACATCGGGATATTGTCGTAACCTCCCGCAGTCCCTGAACGTAAGGAACTAACTATTTCAGTTATTTCCGATTCATCGGCGGGTTCGAAAAACAACGAGTTTACAAAATTTCCAGATAAATAGCTGGCTGGTGATTTCTCTGAGCTAGGTACGTTTACAGCTAAATTCGGGCCAATGTTGGTAAAATAGTGACAAAACCTATTGGCGATGTTTAAAGGATTGGTGACATTTAGATTTAAATTGTTATCAGTAAATGTTGATGGCAACGGGGTTCTGCGCTTTTTCTTATTAATGATTTCATTGATAATTTTCCAAGTTGCTTTAATGTTGGATTTATTAGATTCCAGCTTCTCCTCATAATAAAAACGTTTGGAGGTACGTAATACATGAGTAAGCCTGTTTTTATACTTTTTGTACCTATCCTCATTTAGAGGAGTAGGAACACGTAGGAATTTCTTGTACAACTTATTTTTTTTCTTATGGACTTGTGGATACCCTTGGATAGCCAGGGCTTATTTTTGAACCTTGCTGCTTTAATTCTTTTCAAGGGAAAGGCGGTATTATATATACGCATGAACTCAGAATGAAAACTATCATAAGCATAATTTGGATCATTGTATCCCTCAATATCAGACCATCTGTGATTTCTGAGAAGGTCTTGAAATTTTAACGAGTTAGTCTTACTCCTATCACGGAATGTTACATATGCTGAAGCGTCATATTGCTTCGAGTGTAGCTTTCTCGTTCGGTGATGTCGCACTTTCAGCCATGCTTTCACCATCAGAATTTTCATGTTTTGACGTATTCCTGTTCTTCTTAAGCGGCATTTGATTTTACAAATGCTAAACTAAAGCTTCCACTAGATTAAACTATCGTGACTATGCTGTCTATATGACTGAGCGGAGCATGAAAGCATGCGTCCACCCACCGTGACTGCAAAATAAACGTGATATTTCATCTGTTAAAAAAAGGTGAGGGTTGCTGTATGCATGTATTTCTAGTTATATAGTTAAAACAATAATCTTTCTATTTTTTCAACTATTAATATTTTGGCGTGTTGTACAAAAAATATAATAAAAATAATAAAATTATCGTGTTTCCATGGCAACACTGACGTAAACTCGAGCCTACGTTCGGTGTTGATCAATTGCTAATACTTCATGTTAAATCAATGTTTCGAAAATACAGGCGAGGGGTTGATGCATGCATGTATTTCTAGTAGATATAGAATGCGTACTTGATCACGAGTCATGTCTCCACTTTTTCTCATGCGTGCCCGTTCAAGTCCGCTATATTGAATTTGACTATCTGTTATTTCTATGTTCTGGCTAATGCCAGACAACTTCATTCTGCCTAATCAACCTTCATCGCAGATTTACCATATCCTAGAGATACTCCCTGCATATATACTGATATTCATAATCGATCAAATAATCGATTAGTAATTGATTAATCTCTATCATTTATCATTGATCATTTGCATAATTTGAAAGTAAGTATATATACGGGTCTGTTTGCAGTTATAATGCAACAAAGGTTGCAAGGCTAAATCTTTCAAACTCTTTTACTTAATTCGGGAAAGAAAAATTTAGGCTGCGCACCAGTATAGTTTTGTTTGAAATTGTTTCCATTAAGGGACGTCTCTTGTTTATCATAATCAATTGCTAAAAAAATGATTAAACGGTTAATATCGGCAGCAGCTCTATAATAGAGTGTGCATTTTATACATTTATTGGACCTAACCAAGAGAGATTGCGAAAAATGCAACTATAGCTCCTCTGCCAGGAATTGAACCTGCGGTCCTTCGATTCCGGTGCAATGTTCTAGCTAACTGAGCTACAGGGGCCAGTTGATCGAGCTCTAGCCACAAGTTCATGTGTATAACTAAGGTGATGCTAATGTAAAGTGTATGGGTAAATATGTAAATGCCCAGAATCCTGATATTCACTCAAGCAGCTCTAATAGACTATTTTTGCTCCTCAGGTGATTATTGCAATTGCAGTAAGTTGGATATTGTGCGCAATTTTGACTGAAACAAATGTATTCTCGGAAACGTCAAAAGCTCGAACAGATACAAGATCTGGTGTCTTGTCTGAATCACCCTGGTTTAGAGTTCCTTATCCAGGTATAACATGAATTAAACTTAATTAATGTACTACTATGTACGTCTTAACTTTACAGAGGTACGACTCGGTCAAAAACACCCAACACGTCACCGGCTGCGATGTAGTCGCAATGCTGTTACGATGTTCCTAGCTAGTGCGGTTACGAGAGGCATTCGCGCGTCCCCCTGAACGAGACCAAGCCCAGCACTTTGAATGTTTTCAGAGAGTGCCGGCTTCTCCTTGGCTAGGAACATGGCGGGCGGATACGCCATCATGACGTCAAAGATACCGTCACAGAGTCGAACTTCTATTAAGTTTGAAACATGATAAATTAATTAAGTTGCACAGAAAAGAAACGTTTACTACATCGGTGTACTCATGAAAGACCATGTTAATTTAAACCAGCGAACTCCATGTCTTTTATCTGGAACGATGACACCCGGGAGAAACGTGAAGCCAATGCCAACATAGACTTGCTCCAAGTCTCTCTTTGTGGAGACCCACTATATTGTACGTTACATGACGTACCGCTGAGGGGGAGAGGAGGAAAGAGAGACTTGTAACATCTGGCAGCAGACATACTTCCGGCTGGTCAATTTCGACCAGCCGGAAGTAGATGACCGCATTGACTTATCATGTGTTTAGGGGGGGGAAGGCGACATCTGGATTTATTTGTTTAACATAAGTAATTTTGTATTCACGAGATTTCTTGTAGATTTCACATCACTTTTGACTGCGTGCATTTGGAATTTTGGGCATTATTTTTGCAATTTATTGTAAACAACGATTATAAGAAGAACGGATAAATTACAAATCAGCCGTAATCGTCATAAACCTCGATGACCACCAGGTTTTTGTGTTTGACAATTTGTATTTCATTAGATATTTATATGCAAGGTCAGTATAAACGGGTTATCTCATATAAAATGATCATTCTAATGAATTGATAAAACGAATTATATCTAAATATGTACGGCCGCGTTTTTTACACGGCCACTACTGAAGCGTTTAGCTTGATTGTTGAATAAATCGATGACTTGCTTAGTTGCTTTCTGTTTTGAGCTTAACCACCGTTTAAGCTAAACGGGCTTGATACAACTGGCCACAGACTCGGCCCCAGATAAACATTTTTGTATTATCGAGATCGAAACTATAGTAAATTGGAAACCGTGTCAATAATAAAAACGTACAATGAACTTATGAACATGCGGAAAATTGTCACGCCCAAAATTTATACAAATTTTTAAAATTTTCCGCATGTTCATAAGTTCATTGTACTTTTTTATTATTGACACGGTTTCCAATTTACTATAGTTTCGATCTCGATAATACAAAAATGTTTATCTGGGGCCGAGTCTGGGGCCAGTTGTATCAAGCCCGTTTAGCTTAAACGGTGGTTAAGCTCAAAACAGAAAGCAACTAAGCAAGTCATCGATTTATTCACCAATCAAGCTAAACGCTTCAGTAGTGGCCGTGTAAAAAACGCGGCCGTACATATTAGATATAATTCGTTTTATCAATTCATTAGAATGATCGTTTTATATGATAACCCGTTTATACTGACCTTGCATATATAAAATATCTAATGAACTACAAATTGTCAAACACAAAAACCTGGTGATCATCGAGGTTTATGACGATTACGGCTGATTTGTAATTTATCCGTTCTTCTTATAATCGTTGTTTACAATAAATTGCAAAAATAATGCCCAAAATTCCAAATGCACGCAGTCAAAAGTGATGTGAAATCTACAAGAAATCTCGTGAATACAAAATTACTTATGTTAAACAAATAAGTCCAGATGTCTCCTTCCCCCCTAAACACATGATAAGTCAATGCGGCCATCTACTTCCGGCTGGTCGAAATTGACCAGCCGGAAGTATGTCTGCTGCCAGATGTTACAAGTCTCTCTTCTCTTTCCTCCTCTCCCCCTCAGCGGTACGTCATGTAACGTACAATATAGTGGGTCTCCACAAAGAGAGACTTGGAGCAAGTCTAGCTCTGAGCTAACTGTTGCTGTTCCTTGCACGATTATGTGCGTGAGGCACTTGCCTAATGCGTAGTCGTCAGGGAGACAAAGGTGTGACCCTTGGTAACGGGCGATTAGTTCTAATCGCCCGCTCTAGCGGGCGATTAGAACTAATCGCCCGCTACAGCGGGCGATACGTGATTAAACGTCCCTGTTGAAACAAAAGAAACCCGGGCAACTATGCTATTATCATTAATAAATGCTTTGCTAGTGCTACACGCTATCATTTCATCTGTGTAGAGATCTTTTAAACCTTTCTGTGAAGAATTGCCATTTTTTATTTGATGGTGTTCTATACAAGCAGGTTGACGGTGTAGCAATGGGTTCCCCCTTAGGTCCATTGTTTGCTAATATATTCCTATCTTTTCATGAGAAATCCTGGTTAGCTGACTGCCCTTCTCCTTTTAAGCCTATATTCTACCGTCGATATGTTGATGATTGTTTTCTTATTTTCACATCACGTGACCATGTTACTCCTTTCCTCTCCTATCTAAACTCGAAACACCCCAACATTCAATTTACTGATGAGCTTGAAAGTAATTCGTGCCTTCCTTTTCTAGATGTCAAGGTCATTCGATCTAACGGTTCTTTCGCTACCACGGTTCATCATAAATCTACTTCCACCGGATTGTTTACCAATTTTGACAGTTTTATTCGAATGCTGTACAAGAAAGGTTTACTTTTCTCTCTTATTTCTCGTTATTTCAACATTTGCTCTTATGTATTTTTCCATTCTGAAATGGAAAAATTCAAGAAAACGTTCTCTCTTAATGGTTATCCTGCAACACTTGTTGACAGTTGTATCAAATCATTTCTTGATAAAATGTATAACTCTCGAGATAAAGTTCATACTTGCTCTAAAAAGATTATATATTTTTGTCTTCCTTTCACTGGTCATCATGGTTTGCAAATTCGATCACAACTTCAGAAATTTCTTTCTTCTGCCTATCCACATATTTCCTTACGTGTCGTCTTTCGTCCTTCTTTCCGTCTTTCGAACTTCTTTCCATTTAAGGACAAAATTCCCTGTGAACTGAGATCGCATGTTGTGTATTTGTATAAGTGTCAATGCTGTGGTGCATTGTATGTTGGTCAAACTCGCCGACACATTCACACGCGTATCTCTGAACATATGGGTGTTTCACCTTTGACTGGAACGAAACGTTCTGTTTATATCCATACCACTAAACATCAAATTTCACCCTCTGATTTTAAAATCCTTTCCACTGTTACTTCTGAAGCGGATTTACTCATTCGCGAAAGCCTTTTCATATCTAAACTTAATCCTATTTTAAATGCCAACATTAGGTCAACTCCTCTTGACCTATTTTAATTCTTTGCTATAGGTCTCTAATTACTAATAATTACTAACCATTATATCTTTAATTTACTAATATTTTTAATGATAGGTTGTTTTTCATCCCTTCCTCTTATTCGCTTATTTGAATAATGTAACCGTTTAAACATTTGTGTATATATATATATATATATATATATATATATATATATATATATATATATATATATATATATATATATATATATATATATATATATATAATGCACGCTTGTAAATAAGTTTAATTGCTCTGAAGATGTTGTGAACAATACAACGAAACGTTAGCCAATAAATTTTATATTTTTGTTATGTCTTGTCTGAAAGTCATTTGCTGGGCTTTAATTTTCATTTTTAAGTTACGCTTTCCACCCAGTGTATCAATCGCTGTGGTTCAAATAAAGTACAATTATCAGTAATTGCGTTGTTCATCTAGACAAGTGAACAGTTTTTTCACAAAAAAATAAAGTGCGAAAATTTGAATATTTCCTAGAGCATAGTTTTTACAGTGAGGACATGAACTCTACCTAAATTTAATTCGCTTCTGTCTTAAATCCAAAATGAATAGAGTAACATCCAAATTGACTACCCTGAGTTCAAGTTCGTCAATGGTTTATCGTCAATATCTTAAATTTCCTGTCAATTAGTGACAGCGTACCCTCAAGTCTCAATCATGTTTTCTCTGTATAGGGGAGAAGTCTGAAGATACTTCGACGATGCCTGAGATAGACGAAGAAAAAACACAAGATGCAGCAGATCCGCCACAATCTACTTCAACTCAAATGGTGGAATAGACTGAACAATTTGATTCAGTCGGGAAATTTGCAAAGAGCAAACAGGTTCGTCCAGGGCATTTTAAAAGAAATTACAACTACTGTACAGGGGTAAAGATTGACGTTTACGGCCTTTTCCCTATACATGCAGATACTGTAATTAAGACATTAAATAAGACTATTCTGTGATGCCTTAATTTAATTATAAGATGAGATGTCGAAGAGTCATGATATAACAAGAATGTTATAAGGTTGACGACACAAGGTTGTAACGATATTTGTTGTATCATGACTGTGTCAGACTTGGTGGAGCAACCAAGGTTGATAAAAAATGAGATAAAGTCCCTGGAAAGCAATAGCAACGTACTCGTCCGGAAAACTAATTTTTTACTCCGGAAAAAAATTTTTTACCCCTAAAATGGTACACTGACCGAAATTTTTTGGCGACGGGGGGGGTTCTCCGGAATATAAATTTTCGGGAAAAATTTTTTTTGATAGGAGGCCCCCCCCCAAAAAAAATTAGCCCCGGGCCTCCGCCAACCTCTCGGCGGCCCTGCATGTGAAGAGAGACGACAACATTTTATAAACGCCTTGCACACATGATAGTGTGACAGACAACAACACTACCAGTGATAGGATGGCTAAGGTGCAGGACCTCCTTCGCATCATTAAGAGCATCCATATCATGCATTTCTGGCAGCAGAACCCTGTTCCATGTATTTATTTATTTATTAAAAATTATTTTAACACGGTAGCCTAATATGCAGTGTTATGGACCGTGTATATAATTATGTACAAAACAAATATCCCAAATTATTATAACAAAGGAAATGACGAAGTAATAGATCAACAAATTAAACAACTATATACAATCATTGGTTATTTCAAGTCGCCGTTATTTCATCGAAAAATATCAAGATTTTGTTGGCATCACACTCGAATGAATAATATTTGAAGGATATTGTAGATGTGTAGGATGTTATAAATTTCAACACCATAATTTCCATCTAGTACGTTATTTCATCAACCCATTTGTGAACCCAACATCACAATGGCAACATCAGAGGCACGGTTCCCCTCTGCTTAACTTTTCAAACATTTGTCTTTTAACTTTGAGAACGAAATAGTTAAGGTTTGTAGAGCTCAGCATATATAATGACATTGTTCATGATATATTTAATATTTGTCACTACAATATAATCAGGGGAGCTAGGGAAATTTCTTGGGACACCGGATAGAGTTTACTTCGTGTTGACAATATATAGTCACAATGCCATTAATTATAATATACTCCTCTCGCGCATTACTGTATGCATAGTAACTTTGTTGCTAGAAAGAAGCTTATTACAGTACAAGGTTGATAATTTCTATTTGATCAAACGAGAACGCAAGTCATCGCAAGTAAATTCAGTCTGACACTTGGTTGCCATGACTTGTGATGCGACTGATCAAACGATGCGCAAGTTATCGCAACGATTTGCAAGGCGATCTGGCCCGTGTGCGGGTAATTCTGTAATTTTGTAAATGCAAACAAAACATGGCCGTCATTTAAATCCATTTAAATATGTAAAAAGCTATTGAAAATGCCATCGGAAAGAAAGCGAAAAGCTGCCAGCAGCGTATTTTATGTTCTCTGCTTGATGAAGACGAATCGTTTCGGGCTTGGAAACGTGGGCAAATTAGAGATTGGATTAAGGGAAGACAAAGGAAAAGGACATTTTAATAACATCGTGAGAAAATATAACGCGTGCACAGAGGACTAGGGACTAGTCTGGCGTTTTCATGGCGTTTTTATGGTTTTGACGAAAAACTAATCCTTTAGGATTACAAATAAGGAACTGACTTTATGTACTCGCAAGTTAAAAGTGACTGTGCAAACAGCTGTTTTTTCGCTTCGCTTTATTAATACGGTAACTACTTAAGAGCGTGTGTCTCTAAAAACCGCCCACTGACTTGGGGCTCGAAAAACAAATTTCTTCGAAACTTTTACCGTGAACTAGATTTACTTTAACAACAAACAAATGCTGTTTGGAATTTTCAAAATATATTTAGTTTCAAAGTTTTAGCGATTTTTTGGTCTCGCACCGTCGCGGGAGAAATTCGCCGGCTAATTAAACGAAAAAATGGGCTGAATTTAAATAAACATAATTTCAAAAGTTTTTGTTCAAAATTTCTGATATTCACACCCAGCAACGGAAAACTATCGTAATTTCATCTAAACTAACTTAGTTTTTCAATTACAGAGCATTTGTGACAATATTTAGCGACAAAGAGCGCCATGTCAAAATACGGCTTTCAAATCCTACTATATTCTACGCAGAATTTCTTATAAGTGGGACCTAATTACATACAGTGACTAGTATGGTTGGAAAAAGGACACTTTGAAGTACTAAAAACCGTAATAAAACTCGTCTGCAAACGCGATTTGAACAGTTGAGAGCGTTTGAAATTTGATACTATTTATGGCCTTTTGTTTACATTAGAATGTTGCTGAGGTCAGACATCTGAGTTCATGTCACTGCTAAAAATGCGCTGTAGTTCTGCCAAATAACCTTTTCCTCAAATAAGTTTATAGCACTATTGTACTAATCTATATTTCTTTGTTTATGTCCACCGTAAGTTGTTCCAAGGGATTTAAAATAATAGGCATGTTAAAATAAACAACTTGACCAAATTAATATGCTACTCGGGGAAAAGCCCGCATGCAGCGCGAATTCTATATGTGGCACATGCTATATTTAGAGTTTGCGTTGCAGCATACTAAACTATTGCTTAGTTCGAAAAGTCTATAAATTATAAAGTTTAGTTCTGGAACCTTTCTGCGAAGTTGATCTTTGGATTATATTGCTGCAAAATTGTGTTCTTTTAATGCTATCGGTTCACCTGTATGCGGAGGGTGTCGGGGTGAATCGAGTATTTGTAGAGTAGAATGTATATTTTACTGAGCTTTTTTATTATTATTATTATAAATTTCCAAACTAGCAGTAACAACTGAATTACTTTGGAATTACAGGGTATAAGAACATAGGTATTTAATCTATTCTATATTTACAGGTAAAAATAGGTAAGTTAGGTAAAAATAACGATAATAATCTAAAGTTTACTTATTATTATAAGCACGAGACGCAGCAGGAATGAAACTGTTCGAAAAACGTTCAGTTCTACACCTAGGTACTAATAAGTTGGGATAAGACCTCAGATTATAAGTTTGAAGACTTTTAGGCGGTACTAAGGCATTCAGTTTATGAATGGGTTCCAACATCTTCGAAAAAAGTCGCTTGCAATGGACAGTTCTACGTTCGTAAAGAGTCATCAAGTTAGCTTTAAGCAAACATTCAGCATAGATAGTTCCAGGGAAAATAATTTTTAATGCCCTTTTTTGTATTTTTCAACTTGATCACCCAGGTAATGAGGAAGGCCATAATGCCACACCTGACAAGCATATTCGACAATTGGTCGAATATGTGTACAATAGGTTGAGATCAGAATATGAGAAGGTAAGCATTTCTTTTAAGAAGGCGCAGACCGTGCAAACGCTTCGCGGCTTTCTTGCAAATGTAGTCAATATGGCAGTTCCATTTGAGGTCGTCCGAAAGGACAACGCCCAATAGTTTGGCCTCGGAAACGACGTCGACATCTTGATCGCGAATGGTAATAGGGGCAAACGATGGAGTAAGCTTAGAAAAGCAGACACGCAATTCTTTGGTCTTTGATACGTTTAACTTCATATTATTGTCTGATGACCATTCAGAGCAGCTGATGATGTTAGCGGGTAACTGGGAAGGGGAATTGTTTGATATTATTTCCCAAAGACTAGTATCATCGACAAATTTAACAGTTTCATCCACTACAGCCAAGTCATTTATCATGATCAAAAATAATAGCGGGCCAAGCTTCGTTCCTTGTGGGACGCCGGCGTTTAAAAACTTCCACTCAGAAAAGAACTGACCAACACGGGTTCTTTGTTGTCTGCCTGTTAGGAAGTTTGCGATCCAGTTGAGTAACACGGGATGAATTTCCATGTCTTTCAATTTTTCCAACAGGATGTTATGATCTAATCTATCAAACGCCTTGGAAAAATCAAGTAAACAAATCCGTATAGTGTTACCTTGTTTGTCAGCTGCTTCAAACCATTTATGTAGCATGTAGATTAATGCCATACTAGTGCTTGAACCCTTCAGCGAACCAAATTGCAAGGAATCAATTTTTTTGAGACGGAGTCAAGTAGCCATTTGTAGGGGAAGGATTCAAGAATCTTGCTGATAATTGGTGTGAGGGAGATTGGTCTGAAGTCAGAATCAACATCTTTAGGAGGCGAAGATTTTTGAACTGGTGTAATATTTGCTGCCTTCCATATTGAGGGAACAAATCCTTCACGAACTGATAAATTAAAAATAGAACACAAAGGTCGACACAACACTGAAGCGTTTTCCCGGAGAAGCCAAGAAGGAATTTCATCGGGACCAGCAGATGAATGAAGTTTAGATGATAATAGGGCCTTTTCAGTCTCCTCGACAGAGATGCAGAAATCATCTGGAATGTCATTTGTGGGAAGGGGAAGCCAGTTTAGATTGGGTAAGGAGGACCCTACAGCAACGAACTTGTCGTTGAGCAAATTTGCTAAGTCGGCATCAGAGTAGGATTTACCTTGGAACATCATTGTAGATACATTCTTAGAAGACTGAAGACCGGCAATATTCTTCACCGCTGACCACCATTTACGAGAATCGGACTGTTGAACGCCCGCGATACTTTTATTGTAGTAATTTAGTCGTGCTTTTTTGCAAAGTGCATTGACTTTGTTTCGATAGAATCTGAACATCGGGTTATTGCCAGCCGCCCATGCTGTTTGCCGCTTGGAAATAAGAGATTTTATTTCGGAAGTAATCCAAGGCTTGTCACTAGAATCAATTTTGATTTGTTTCCAAGGCAAATGTTCGTTTATGATATTATCAACGATGGTGGAAAAATACTGGAACTGCTCGTCACAAGATTCCATATGGTGCAAAGGTAACCAATTAACTTTCGACAGATGATCGCTAACAATTCGACGATTGGTTGGGCGAGAGTCTCGTACTAAACGTGTAGACCTTGTGCCACCATAAGAGTTAGCTGGAAGAGGTTTAAGAACGATGGAATTATGATCGGAATGTCCAATTGGAGAAGTTACCAGGGCAGAATTATAAAATTTAGAAATGTTGGTAAATATTTTATCTAAAATATTCTTTCCTCTAGTAGCGTCCTTGACTAACTGCTTGAGGTTAAAGGAACTGCATAACTGGCGATGTTTAAATTGGTTAAAATCTCCGGCCAAAATAATTCCTGCACCGGGATTGGTGGAAAGGACAGAATCGATTGATTCGGTAAGGTGTGAAAGAAGGGCTTTATCGTCACTTCCAGGTGGATGGTACACGATTCCCAATACAATTGAATTTAAACCACGAGGCAAGCGGTGAGGTTTTAAGAGTAACCAAAGCGACTCATATTCGTGACTTTCAATCTCTTTAAGATGAATGAACGGAAGCATGTCCTTTACAAAGACACAGACTCCACCTCCTCGTCTGCCGTCGGAACGATCATGCCTCAGTAAGGAATAACCGCATAAATCTATTGCTGAATTAGGAACATTTGAAGAAAGCCACGTTTCGGTAACAACGACAATGTCTGATGTATAGGATTTTACTGTAGCAGACAGTTCGTCAATCTTGCTGATCAGCGATCTTGAATTAGAAACAAATAAATTCGGTAGAGAAGAGAGTAAGGGCGTTTTTTTGGTTTGGTGGCCACTAATATAAATTAAGTTATTTCTACGGTTGAAACTTTTCCCTGGTACTGGAACCGATTGATGCTGTAGTGTTCTTAATTGACTAGGTTTTGCATTTATTTTTCTTTGAAAGTTTGATACGCGATGGGTTATTCTCACAGGAATTTTTTGAACAAGAAGTTCAACGGGAATCGAACTGTAATTTTCATGCGATTCTCTCTCATTTTCTTTAGAATTTACTTTGCCGTCAGCCGGCGAACAAGATTTAAATGCGCCAACCATTCCGCTCTTCGAACATGAGGCAAGGGCGGGGGACGCTCCGGAAAGCTCTGCCGAAAAGGACAGTTATTAGTATTGTCACACTCAGACATGCATTCGTCGCCGTCTAAGACAATAAATTCAGAGATATCAGCTGGTATTTGGCCAATGCACACATGCTGAGTAACTGTCTCAGTGCTAGTTGTACTATCATTCAATATATTTGATGGGTTTTCTAAAAAAGGTTCCTTCTTCTGAGTTATAAATGGCTTGGATATTTCGATAAGAGGCAAGTTTCCAAGCGATTTCAGCGACAATGGCTCACAGTAAGGGGGAGAATTAAGATTGCGTCGAGAGTAACTTCGCGAGACCTTAGCTTTACTGATTTTGTCGTTATTCATATTATGCTCCGTTAACTTCACTTTGTTAATTTCACATTTGTTGTCGAGTTTATTGTTGGTTCTATTACAACTTGCTGGTTGGACAATTAAACATGAATTATCAAGGGGGCTTTCAACGCTGACAGTTTCGGGAATAAATGGTTCACCTGGTAAACAAATAGAGTACTTGACTTCGTTTAATAGAGTACTTGACTTCGTTTAATAGAGTAATATGCATAGAAATAGTACAACCTTTATAGTAGAATATAAACCAAATACGCTATAGTTTTAGTCAATCTCTGAATCGAGCACATGTAAATATTCTCATGCGCATGCGCTAAAGTCCTGAGCTATATACTGTATACTGGAATGTTCATATCTCTTCGACATCCTCCGGGGGGCGGCGTAAGATCTTCGTCCATTCTGAAATTCGAATTCTGTTGGCTGCTCTCGCGGCTGAGGTTCTTACGGGTCTGTTTCTAACCGTTCTCTCTTGTTCAGTTGAATTGTTGACAACGAGGTTTTCTTGATCACAGTTGCTTATGTCCCTTTCCTCGACTTCGTTCGTTGACAGTTCTAGTGGGTACAATTTGCAAATTGGTCTGTTTGTATACCCTGTGCTTGTTCGAATGTTCGCTGCTCGGACCAAGTTATCACCTCCTCGAATGAGATCTTCCACAACTGCTAGTTTCCAGGTGGACCTCGGGCTGTCGTCATGGACTAGAACTACGTCTCCTTTCTTAATAATCTGCTAATTGTCTCCGCTAGAACGATGAAACTCACGTAAAGAGGTGAAATATTCGTGCCTCCATCTTTTCCAGAACCGTTGTAAAATGATAGCTTGTAGTTTCACTCGGCGTCGAATATCTGACTCAGTTCCATAATCTGGATCTGTTAGGTCATCCTCGGAGACAGGCGTATCAAACGGTAATGACGTGATTCTTCTTCCGTACAATAAGTGTGACGGTGTTAGTGGCTCTTCATCGTTTATATCACTTGACACGAACGTAATTGGACGATCATTTAGGATGGCTTCTACCTCTACGATGAGGGTCTGGAGTTCTTCTAGTGTTACGGATGCTCTACCGAGTGTCTTCTTTAGTGCAGTTTTTGTCAATCCAATTAAACGTTCCCAAAAGCCCCCATACCAGGGCGCTCGCTTCGGTATAAATTTCCATTCGACTCCTTGTCTGCTGAAGGCTTCCTTAAGTGATGGCGATTCGAATAATTCTTTCAGGGTTTCTGCTGAAGCTACGTAGGTGGAAGCATTATCTGAAATCATGGTAAGGGGTAGAGATTTACGACTCGAGAAACGGCGAAATGCCAAAAGAAATTTCTCCTCTGATAGATCTGAGACGATTTCTAGGTGAACGCTTCTTGTAACTGCACACGTGAAAAGACATATGTAAGTTTTTGTTTCACCGAGTTGGGTTCTGACATAGAGGGGTCCGCCAAAGTCTACTCCCGTTACTGCGAATGGTGCTCTTTCTTGGACTCTAATCTTTGGTAGAGGTGCGGAGTCTGGTGTTTTGAAAGGGGTACCAGTAACTTTGCGACAGGTGACACAACGTCGAAGTAACTTCTTTACATATTGACGTATGGCGGTTATCCAGTAGCTTTGTCGAAGTGCAGTAACTGTAGCATTGATTCCAGAATGCATTTGTTTATGATGGGTGTCTTGTACGATCAGTTCAGTAAATCTACAGTTTTTGGGGAGTAAGTATGGAAATCTGGCCAGTTCACTAAGTGGGGCATTATGAATCCTCCCGCCGCAACGAAGAAATCCATCGGGATCTAGGAATAAGCGAAGCTGTCGTACTAAGGGCAGGCGTGTAGACTGTAGAGGATGATGATGTGAGGTTAGCGATTTCGTTGTTGTAATGTAGGGTTTGACAATTTTGGATCCATACTTTCAATGCTGCCTGTTTTTCCGTTGCGGAAATTGGTCCTACAGCTCTTCGTTTGTCTTTACGCATGTTCTGTACAAACCGATAGACATAGGCAGTAACAGATAGTAGTTTTGTTAATGAACTGTATCGAGATGTATCAATAATGAGGTGAATCCCCGAATTCGCGTCGTTTGGAGTGGTTTCGCTGGGAATGGTTGTGGATGGTCCTGTGTCATTTTCTTCGAAGAGCGATAGATTTATGGTGCGTGAGGGATTCCACAGTGGCCATTCTGATTCTTGTAGTAACCATGTTGGTCCATTCGTCCATAGAGAAGACGACTGTAATTGGGATGATGTAATTCCACGGGTGAGCAAATCAGCCGGGTTTTGATCAGTTGGGCAATGGTTCCAAGTTGATGTAGGAAACATGTTCTTTATTTCGTTAATGCGATGTAGTATGAGTTTTACTCTTAGGTTGGGATATCTGGAACTGAGGGTACAAGATAGGAAATTGGCTAATCGTGTTCCGACTACAGCGGCCATTAATTCTAATTGAGGAAGAGTTAGTTCCTTCAAGGGTGCAACCCGAGATTTTGCCATGATGGGCGATGATTGGTTCCCGTTGGTAAGGTACGCCACAGCTCCATATGCCTTGAGGCTTGCATCAACAAACACATGGATGTATGTTGTGGAAATAGGTGCAGGAGTTTGGGAAAGGTATCTTCTTTGCATGCAAACGTTGGTTTCTTCTTGTAAGTCCCTTGCAATATTTAGCCATTTGGTTTTGAGTTCAAGAGGTAGTGGTTCATCCCATTCCAGTTCGTTCTGCCACAGTTCTTGCATTAGTAGTTTTGCTTTGACAGTTACAGGAGATAAATTAAAAGTCCAAGAGGGTCGTAGATCTTGGAAGAGATTTGTAATACGTGACGCTTAGTGATAGTTGGGGGTGATGTGTAATCCTGTGCTGGTGGGAAACTTAGAGTATCTGTCGATGGATTCCATTTCAAACCGAGGATGTTGACAATGGTTTTAGGATCAGCTGTTCCATCTTTTGTAGCAATTTCTTGAAGTGATGGACTATTTGATGCCCAAGAGTGGAGATTGAAATGTGCATTATGCATAATAGATCTGGCGTCGTTGTAGTACAGAATACTGTCCATTTCTTGGTCACAACCAGAGATTATGTTGTCAACATAAATATTGTCCTTTTTGTCTTGAACTATAGGGAGGTCGTAGTTTTCTAGGTGGCAACGGAGGGTAGCATTCAACATGAAGGGGGAGCTAGTCGATCCAAAAAGGACGGTCTTGAAGCGGAAGATATCAAATTTGCTCTCTGGGTTTGTAGGGTCTGAGAGCCAAAAGAATCTAGTGAAGTCTCGGTCACTGTCATCGAGTCCGACATGGACAAAGGCCTTCTCAATGTCTGATGATATGCCATAGGTGAATGTACGAAACCGCAGTAAAATGGCACACATGTCATTCAGGAACGGTGGACCAGTAAGAAGACAGTCGTTCAGACTAGGAACATTTGGTGATGAGTGAAAGCTACAGTCGAAAACAATTCTGACTGGTGTTGTTGTTGATTCCTTTCGGATAGGGTGATGTGGGATGTAATGCGCTTTGTTGGTTAGTTTGGTTTCTTCGACTTTCTCAATGAATCCTCGCTTAGTTTGTTCTTCAATAATGTCGCCATAACATTTCAGCAAATCAGGAGTAGCGGCAAGTCGATGGATCATCGCTCGAGTGCGACGCTCACATGCTAGGTAGTTGTCTGGGAGGGTTGGTGCATCATCTTTCCATGGGAATTTTGCTGCGTAACTGCCATTTGGGTTTCTGGTAATAGAGGTGTTGATGTAATTTTCCAGGAAATCTTGTTGGTTTTCAGTGCAGGATGGCGGAGTGATGCCAATAGATTCGAGGGACCAGAATCTTTCTAGATCAAGTTCTGTTCTTTTGGTGGATCTGACTGTCTGCAACAGGCTCACAAGGGTGTTGGAGGGTCTGGAAGGTGTTGGTAATGGCCCAGAGAGAAGATAACCAAGTTTTGATGCAACAGCAGTGGGTCCCTGACCACGAATCACTTCATCTTCTACTATATCCCAGTAATGGTCGGCTCCGATAAGCAATGATATACGAAAGTCCTCTTGAGCTGCAATAGGATGGGCTAGGATTAAATTCTTCAGGTGGGGCATATCATTTATATGTTGACGAGGTGGAATTTGGAGGGGCGTTGCTATCACCTCAACTACAAGAACTTGTAATGGAATTTGTTGTCCAGTACGGGTGATGATATAAACAGTAGCAAGTGGTAGGTGACGTCTAGCTGAGGTTTGGGCTCCAAAGGCTGATAGCGCAATTTCCTCTGTTTTGGAGGACATAACTCCAAGCTGGTTTGCTAGGTCAGTAGTAATAAAAGACCGTTGAGCTCCTTCATCAAGAAGAATATTGGCATCACAATGAAGTTGCCCAGTGCTCACAGTTGCAATGGCTGTTTTCAAAAGCGAAACATGTCTTACTGTTGGAGAATGGGTGGATGGGACCAGAGTTGCATGGGTGGGTGTTGGCTGTGGTGTATTTGGAGTAGTGGGAAGGGCTTGTTGATTGTTGGGATTTTGGTGAAAGGGAGGGGTGGAGGTGTTATTGGAGGGGGGTTAGGAGGCATCATTGAATGAGGGCATAGGGTGGTGTGGTGTTTCCCCTTACATTTCAGACAACGGAACTTGGATTGGCAGTTTGATGACTTATGATTTCCCAAGCAATTGAAACACAGTTTTTCCCTTTTCGCGATTGTCCACCTCTCATGGCAATCCTTTACAACATTACAATTGTAGGTGGGGTGAGGACCCTTGCAATATGCAGATCGTTTAGTAGTGTGTCCCGGCTTGTATCTTGTGCTTTGATGTTGGTTTCCTTGTGTTTGTGTGAAAAACGAACCTGTTGTTGTGTGTTCAGGTGATGGCAGTGTAGCTTGCATTAGATTGGATTGAACACCGGCTTCTAGAATTCTTATTTCTTTACGAATGGACTCTCTATGGTGGCCCAAAACTGCCATTGATTTTTTTGATAAATTAATTATTTTCATCAATTTACTTTTTAAAATTATTGTTTTTTTTATGTATTTAGTCTTACTTTACTTTTATTTATTTTTTAATTTTAATTACTTTTCTTTTTATTTCCTAAACAAAGCTCGATTTGTTTTAAAAAAATTTTAAAAATGTATCTCACCACGAGCCCAAAACTGCCATAGTATACCACAATGCGTTGCGTGCATGTACTAATTTATTCATACGAATTTATTTTAAATTATTCGCGCATTCACGCGGGAAAGTTAAATCCAACATGGCGTTTAGGCAGAAGTGGGAAGGGTTTGAAAATCGTATGAAAGCTAAACGCGAGATTAACTGTAAAAGAAAGCAACAAGCAACACCGAAAAAGGTAGACCATTTGACTGTGCAGAGATTGAGCTCGGACGTGTCCGGAAAAGCACAGAAATTTTCGAGGATTGGACCCCGAGAGTTTGTTTCTTATCCACATGGCGACATCACAATCGACAACATAAAGAAGGCATGTGAAACTCATTTCCTCTCTCAACTTAAAATGAATGTAGAGTGCGACGTTCTTGCGGGTGAGCAAGGTCCATCTTGTACAAGTCTTGACCAAATTCCAAATCTGAAATTGATCCATATTCGATTTGTTGGCACTGCAAAGCGAGATTCGTCTGCCTTTTCTTCCGAATTCCCTGCCGATTCTGAATTCAGTCGACCAAAAACTAAGAGAACACGTGGACAGCCAGAACTTGCAAGTTGTTCCTATCAATCGCCTCGAGCTAGGTCCTTAGAAGTGAGACCACAAGTTAGAAAGAATTTGAATGCTGGTTGTCCAAAGAGTCTGTCTGTCACACAGATGATAAATCTGGGCAAAGTCGTGCGACAAGAGACGACCATTGCAGACGTTTACAAGTTTAATTTAGAAAATATGGCATGGTCTTCAGTCGCAGAAAGAGTGGAGCTGGTTATTGAAAAGAAGCCCTTTGCAGAGGGAGGGTTCCGTGAAGTGTATAAAGCAAAAAGTCCAACAGCATGTTACAGCGAACGTCTCTGGGTGGTTAAGAAGTACTTACCAAAAACACTGGAGTCAATCAATCAACTGGGGCAAACGATTGAAGATCACACCAAAAAGGCAGTCCAAATGCAGTCTTTGGCAAAGAACATAGCTCACTCCATGTATGCAAAGGTATGGAGTAGAGGATTGTGGGGTGTTATTTCTGCTGTTATTTCTGTGGGTGTTATTTCATTTTTACAGTACCTCAGCTTTTTATGTCCATTTGTTTGTTTGTAAGCACAATATCTCTAGAAATAAACAGTTTTTACCAACTGTTTGTGCAAAGAATACCGTATTCTCTCTACTAATCCCCGGGGGCTTTCTCTTAGACCCTTTTAAGGAGGGGCTTATTTGAGAGGGGGAGGCTTATTTATTTTTTGGTAAAATTATGATAATTTTCTTCCAGCACAAAGCAATGTTCAACTATATATTTTCAACTTTTCAACCATATATA